CTATGGGGACAGCGCGGGGGGGTTCTGCTACCAGGAGAGCGGGCAGCTCGCCGCCGTCACCAGGAACCGCTTCGTGAGGTGGTGAGTGCGGGCCCGGGGGCAGGCCCGGTCGCGGAGGGGGGCTTCCAGGCCCGGTTGGACCCCCCCGAACTTGTGTCGGTTTCACTCTCTGCTTTTCCTCTCCGCCTGTTCCTGCCGTCCTCACGCTTTCCCCGGTTTCTTCCCTCAGGACCACATCGGGAGACACGGTGGAGCTGGTGGAGGAATCTCTGGACGTTAACCTGCTGAACAACGCCGTCCGCTTCCGCATCCAGGGCTGCCCGTTTCTCCCGGGCGGCGTGCACCTCTGCGAGGTGCAGAGCCACTTGGTCGTCCTGCTGATCACCGGGCAGACAGTGCATCGTCTCCTCCTGCCGCATCCCGCCCGCATGTACCGCAGCGTGAGTACCGGGGTGCCCTGCTCCCCACCTCCGACCCTCACCTGCCTCTCAGGAACCCTCAGGAAAGCCTGAAGTGCACTGCAAAATAGCAAAGGCCTTGGTGTGCTTCTCAGCGAGGGCACAAAGTGCTGTTTCCTACCTGTATTACTTTTGGCCAGGGCAGAGTTAATTTTGACTGTGACCACATTAATTTTGGTGGGGATAGAGTTAATTTTCTTTATAGTAATTTATGTGGCAGCATGTTTTGGATTTGTGAATTAGTTTTTGTTCAGTGTTTGCACAGCTTTAAGTTCGCATCTGTTTCTCAGTCTGCCCACCTTGTGTGAATGGATTTGGGGGTGTGTGGTGGTTTGGGAGGGGGCACAACCAGACAGTTGACCTGAACTAACCAAAAGGATCTTCTTGCCTTATAACATCATGCTCAGCAATAAGAGGGAAAAGGAAGTTTTTTTGGAGGTTAGCCATCTTTTGCCTGGGAACTGGCTTGGGAGATGGTCTATCCAGACTTTGTGTCCCTTGTTCTCTCTTCTGCTTGTCCTTCACTTAAACAACTTTTTTTTTCTTATCTTGACCCACAAGTTTTTGTGCTTTTATTTTTCCCTTCCTCTTCTCCCATCCCACATGGGAGGGAGTGATCGAGCAGCCGTGTGCTGGTGACAGCCAAAGTGGCTTGACAAAGGGCAAACTGTGCCTGACAAATCTGGTGGCCCTCTACAATGAGGTTACAGTACTGGTGGATAAGGGAAGAGCAACTGATGTCGTCTACCTGGATTTGTGCAAAGCTTTTGATGCTGTCCCACACGACATCCTTGTCTCTAAATTGGAGAGACATGGATTTGACAGGTGGACCGCTTGGTGGATGAGGAATTGGCTGGTCACGCTCAGAGTTGGGATCAAGGGCTCTGTGTCCAAATGAAGAGTGGTGATGAGTGACGTTCCTCAGGGGTGGGGGTTGGCACTGGCACTGTTTAACATCTCTGTTGGGGACATGGACAGTGGGATTGAGGCACGTTCCCACCAACACCGAGCTGTGTGGTGCAGCTGATGTGCCATCCCCATGGACCTGGACAGGCTGGAGAGGGGGGAACATCCAAACCTCACTGAGTTCAACAAGGCCAAGTGCAAGGTCCTGCCCATGGTCAGGGCAATCCCCAGCACAAACCCAGACTGGGCGAGGAGTGGCTGGAGAGCAGCCCCGAGGAGAAGGACTTCGGCGTGTTGGTGGGTGGAAAGCTGCCTGTGAGCCAGCAACGTGCGCTGGCAGCCCAGAAAGCCACCCCTGTGCTGGGCTGCACCCAGAGCAGTGTGGGCAGCAGGGCGAAGGGGGGGATTCTCCCCCTCTGCTCCACTCTTGGGAGACCCACCTGCAGTGCTGGGTCCAGCTCTGGGGGCACCAACAGCAGAAGGACACGGACCTGCTCAAGTGGCCACGAAGATGCTCGGGGGGGCTGGATCCCCTCCTCTGTGAGGACAGGCTGAGAGAGTTAGGGGGGTTCAGCTGGAGAAGAGAAGGCTCTGGGGAGACCTTAGAGAGGCCTGCCAGGACTGAAAGGGGCTACAGGAAAGGGGGGAGGGACTCTTGATCAAGGGGAGTGTAGGGATAGGATGAGGGAGAATCGTTCTAAACTGACAGAGGGGAAATTTAGATGAGATCTAAGAAAGAAATTCTTCCCTGTGAGGGGGTGAGGCCCTGGCACAGGCTGCCCAGAGAAGCTGTGGCTGCCCCCTCCCTGGAAGGGTTCAAGGCCAGGTTGGACCAGGCTTTGGGCAACCTGGGCTAGTGGAAGATGTCCCTGTCCAGGGCAGGGGGATGGGACTAGATGATCTTTAAGGTCCCTTCTCACCCAAACCAGTCTGTGATTCTGTGATTAACCCCCAACACCGCTCTGACATGGGGCTTCACACAAACTCTGCTGCCACCATTGTGCCCATGTCATGTGGGCTGCTGGTAGTAACACTGGAGGTGAGCTACTGATGAGTATGAAGCTCGGCTTTTCCTGAGCCCTTTCCAGTTGAGTCGAGCAGGCCATATACTAGTTTTGACTGGGATGAGATTGATTTTCTTGACAGCGGTTCACGTGGTGCCGTGTGGCAGATCTGTGACCAAAGCAGAGTTGGGGACACACTGCTGCTTGAGCTGTCGCTGATCAGTGCATGCACAGCACTGAGGGCTTCTCTGTTTCTTACTTTGCCCCCAAAACAAGCTGGCTGTGGTGGGCAGGAGGCTGGGAGGGGGCACAACTGGGACAGGGAGGGGACAGTCTTGTCCTGTGCCATGACACCATGTTCAGTGACACGGCAGGGATGGAATTGGGACAGGTGATGGTTGCTCCACTCCTGGCTGAGCATCAAGGCTGCTTGGAGGAGGTGGTGAGGGGATTGCCTTGACACCACTCAGTTTGGTTTTATTTTCTTTTTCCTTTTCTTATTAAATCATCTTTACCTTGACCAACATGTTTTTGCTGCTTCTGTTCACCCATGGGGCCCATGGCTGGTGATAGTTACCTGCCCACTGGGTCAGTCCACCACGACCAATCTGTTGCAGAGCTCTGTGGTGGGGATTTGTCCCCTGGGCTGGAACCCTCTGGTGTTTCCAGAGGTGCAGAGCTGGAGCCTGTCAGACTCTCCTGAGTGTTGGCGAAAATTGCGCTTTAGTTTCTTGCTCTCCAAACTTTTCTAGTTAAATGTCTTTATAGATGTTAGAAACTGCTAAACTCCCAAGATTCTTGACCAGATACAGCAGGGGTGTTCATCAGTGTGGGGTGATTGTCTGTGTGGAAGTGAAAACTGCTGGAGAAAAGCGTTGGATAGGGAAAGCAAGTTGGAAATTTCTCACTTTATTTGGAGTGTACTCAGACCACTTCCAGGGGAAGCATCAGACTAGCAGCATTTGCCCCAAAGCTGAGGGTGTTTCACATTGGTGAATAGGACTCTGATTTTGGTGAAAATTGGTGACATAACCTGAAATGAGGCTTGGAGGTTGGAGGTGGCTCTGCGAGCAGTCCTGGGGCCTGGTCTTGTGACAGTGGGGACAAAATAACCTTAGGATGTCAGGACTGAGTTCTTTGGAGGGAGGCCTGCCTGTGTTTGCAACTTCCCCTCTGTATGCAGCAAGCTATAGAATCTTTATTTCACATGGAAGATGGATCTTATGCAAAGTTGACATCACGTTTACCCCCTTGCTGTGACTTTGTCTTCTCACGTCTGCTTCTGGTGTCTCTTGTCAGGTCCCTTTCCTCTCGGAGAGCTCATCCAGTTCCAAACAGCTTTCCCAAGGGACGACATTGTGCTATTGCAGAGCTGCTCTTCACAGGGCTCATTACCAGCGTTTTGCTACAAGCTGTCTTGAAGCAGCTAATGGACTCCAGGACTCCTCTGGGGGTGTTACAGTACAAGGGAGAACATGAACATTCTGCTAGAAAACTGCAGGATTTGAAATCCCTTTCCTATCTGCTTGTAAAGAGCAGCGGTTGTGGGTTATCAATATAAGGGAAAAAGGAGGGGTAGTTGTGAGAGTTCTTACCAGAAAAAACCTTTTTAGCAAGTAGCAGCATCGCAGTTGCTGTTCCACAGGTTTTTTTCTCCTGTGCCTTGCATATGTGTGCTCAGGATTTGTACTCTCTGCTATTTCCCTCCTCCAGGAGCTGATAACAGAGAGCCAAGTGCAGTCCGTGTTTACAGATATCGGCAAAATCAACTTCAGAGATCCCGTGAATTACTACGTGATTCCCAGCGTGCCGGGCCTGGCATCTAATTCGGTCGCCTCGGCGGCATGGCTTAGCAGCGAGGGGGAGGCTCTCTTCGCTCTGCCCTCTGCTTCGGGGGGGATCTTCGTCCTTAAACTGCCTCCTCACGACGCGCCTGGTAAGGAGCGGGGTCAGGCGGCCTCCTCACACCCACCTCTGCAAAACGCCGCGCAGTGTGGCATCCCTTCTTTGAACCATGGTTGATTTTGTCTTTTTGATATCTGTGTCATACAAATTCCCCCACACAAAAGCCCTTTTATGTCGTGCCTGCAAAGCCCCTCGCTAGTGGCAGTAAATATTTTGTTAACGAGTACTCAATATATTTCTTAATATCACTTTTGTTTTGAAAGGAACGGTTTCAGTTGTGGAATTGAAGCAGAGCTCAGTGGTGCAGCGTTTCCTTACCGGTTGGATGCCAACTGCCATCAGGTTAGTGTCTGGTGATAAAGAAGTGGATCTAATTTTGTCTTTTTGATTCCCTCACCTAGAGTTTCTATCTGAAGTCAAAGAGAGACGAGTTAGCATCTATACTCTGCCAGAAAAAGTTAACTGACTCGCAGGACCCTTCGCAGTATGGAAGTTGGGACTTGAATGCTGGATTAGTTCATCTTAATGGGGTCCTGCTGACTGTGTGTCTGTGTCTACAAATATTCTATTTAGTAATTGGCCTCCAAGGATTTGCCCAGGATATGGCTCGCAGCCAGCGTAGATTAAGGATTACAACAGTTGTATGTTCTTGCCCTTGTCCTGAAACGTCAGGCTTGTTCCCGACGGGCAGAGGTTACGTGTGGATGACACGGACGCTCTGTGTGCAGATGGGGCTCAGTGTTAAGTTGTAACCATTACCGTATGGTAGAGCACAGAACGAAATTCTGCCCCATTACTTGGAAATGGGAGCGAATCCTCTGATTTCCTGAATGACTTGGACCATCCATGGTGCATTGCTTGGGGCTGGTGGGATCTTTCCTTCCGTCTGGATCCTTTGCCCATGTTCTGCAAGCTCTAGGCTGGGGAAGCCAGGGATGTGCCTTGGCTCTGCCAGAGCAGGTGAACAACTGGGTATTACTGGTATGCTGGGCTTCTCTGTGCCTCAGACACTGACCTGCACAGCACTGAAACACTGCGCTCTCCTCCTGCTGTCACACCGCTGATTTATTTCTTTTTAAGGGGCAATAGAAACCCCATGCCTTGGATCTATGCACTAGCCTTGATTTTATTTTAAACCATTGAAATAAACTCTGTATTTTCAGAGGTGACTGTGGCCCATCGGACCTGCCTATCAGCCTCTCTGTTCACTGCCTGGATCATGATGCCTTTCTCTTTGCTCTCTGCCAGGACCACAAACTTCGGATGTGGTCCTATAAGGTGAGTGAGGCCTGTGTTTGCAGCAGTAGCGTCTTCCATCGCTGCTCAGGTGACAGTCTGAGGCTTAAGGAACGAAAACCGAGTGATTGGCATAGATCTGATCTGCTGTTAAATTGTCACTGAACAAACTTCTGCATGCTGGGATTCAGGGCAGTTTGTGAAAATTGTTGCGGCTTGTGTTCGTAGCCACGTTTGGGAAGCGGGTGGTGGGTCTTCTCGGTGACAAAGCCTCATGCGTAGGGTAAGAGTCAATATTTGGTGATCTACAAATGTACTGGAGTGTTCAGGAAGGCAGGCAGGAGTGCTCCAAGGGCTGAGGAGGCACACCAATTGTATTTTCTACTGCATTAATGGTAATAAGAGTGTCTTTCTAACATAACTGCTTGTCAACAAGAAGTTAATAAAAGCCTCTGCTTGCTGCGTGCCACTTGCTCCAAATATCAGTGCCAAAGCTAATCGACCAGCACAACTGCTTTCACGGCTCATCTGCCCTGGAATGTGTTCTGAGAGGGAGGGGAAGCTTTATCATCCATGCCTGGGCTCCAAAAGCCTGTGTGCTCGGTGGGAGAGGGCACAGGTGAGACAGGGAAAGCTGAACAGTGTTAATCAGTGGTTTGGGTGTGCAGATGGGTGCTTTCCTTGCATCCTTTAAGGGAAGATATGGACAGGCTTTATCCGAAAGGAAAGGATGAGGGAGAAGAGCAGTTTCTCAATCCTGAGTCTTTCCTATGCTGCTTTCCTGATACCATTGTTTTGTGTAGGATCAAATGTGCCTGATGGTTGCAGATCTGCTGGAGTTCATGCCGGTCAGCAGGGATCTGCGGCTTGCAGCCGGGACCGGGCACCGTCTGCGACTGGCCTTCTCCCAGTCCCTGGGGCTTTACCTTGGCGTGTACATGCATGCGCCCAAGCGAGGGCAGGTATGGAGGGATGGGGCTTCTTGCTGTGAATGTCTTTTTCTTGGGCTGCACGGAAAATACATTATTCCTCCTTGGATTTGGGTCTGTAAGGCAAAAAACAGGGAGATGTTTCATGTTCTGACCCTATGAAGAGAGCAGTGCTTTCTGAATAAACATTTTTGCTCTCAAAACACTGCAGGATACACATGCCCTTGCCTTGGGAGTAGAATTCTCTGTGTGACTAAGCTGATCTGTGAGTGCTAGTTCACGTGTTCACCTCCTGTTCTAGTAGGATCCTGGAAGCACATATGTGCCGTGGGAAAAGGAAAGGTCTGAAAGGAGCTAAAAGCTTGGAAATACTGATAGTGTGTTTATGTTAGGCTCCTGGGAGCACGTGACGCATCGCTGTGCATTGCCAGTCGTGACTTCTTAGAACTTCTGCTTCTTGCAGTGAATAATAAATTTAGCAGGCTGGGAATGACAGCACAGAGTGGTCTCATCTGTTGGACAGCTTAGCCTGCCTGTTCTCCAGGGGATTCACATGTGGAGTAGAAGTATTGTAACTTCTGCTGTCCCGCTAGTGCTCTGCTTGCTGTGGTGAGAACATGCAGACCTTGGCTTGCAACAAGCGGCCTGAGGATTCAGGGCTTTTCCACCTTGGTGGTCTTACTTGCCCATGTCGTGTTGTCACTAGCAGTGCCCAGCACCCTTCAGGTTCTGGCAGGGATGAGCGTCCTTGCTGAGAGGGCTGAAGCCAGCCATGTCAGTACGTGGTGCAGATGGTCAGCTTGGCCCTCCTGCCCCCAGCCCTTGGGGCTCTGGTGACTGTAGCGTCAGGCAAGGAGAGGGACTGAAGAAAGGAGCTTCCCTGTGACACTCTGGTTATTGGTTTAGTCATCCTTTAGCAAACGATTTATGAGGTGTGTTTGTAGTTCTGTGTCTTCCAGCTGGTGAGCACCGAGAGTAACCGCTACAGCCTTGACCACATATCCTCCCTGTTCTCCTCGCAGGTGAGTGCTGGGGCCTGGCTGCCCCAGAAGGTGCTGAGACAAAGAGTTTCTTCCCAAAACCTGCTTAAATGATACGAGGGAATGTTTTGCTGTCATTAAGTACACGCGTCTCTCTGCTGTACTTGAATTTATGATAAGAAAGTAAATTTGCGCTCTCTTTTCTAGGAGACTCTTGTTGACTTTGCCTTAACTTCAGCAGAGATCTGGGCTTTGTGGCACAACGAAGAGAACCAAACTGTTGTGAAATACATCAACTTTGAGCAGTAAGTTTCTGCGCCGAATCTAGTGTTGAGAGCCTCACGGGGGTAACTGCAGGAGCAGCTCCACGCGCCACTCCTTAAAAGCCCCAATCGAGCTCCTTGACTCTTCTGTCCTACTTTGCTGCCTGAAGTGTGTGGAGATGCAGCAATACCTAGTTCTTCATGTCACGTGCACAGCTGTTTCTTCCTGTGGTGCATATTACGTGGATTTTTTTTTTTTTTGGTTCTGCTTTATAATCAAGCTACAGCTCAGCTACAGGAATGTGAAAAATGTGAGAAGCCAAGCAGCAGACTTGCTGGAAGTGGAGTCTGCTGTGAGTGTGTCAGAAGGAGGGCTGTACTTCACAGACAGCTCCTTCAAAATATAACTCTCTGGTCTCTTCCAAGAAAGATTGTGTTTTGAGGAGACCAGTGATGTAAAAGAATCATCCCCATCTCTGTAAAGCTGAGAGGGCAGGCATAGTGCATAGCCAGACCAGAGAGTTAAAGAGTGGGTGAAAAAATGCTGTGAGTGTGCAAGCTTAGGTAGAAGAATCTACTAGTCTGTCTGAGAGTTGCTTGGTGAGCATGTGTGACGAGAGAATGTTGATATAAATGAAGGAATCCAACCTATTCTGTTAGCTTAGGGCTGGGGATGCTGCCATTAAGCTCTCCTGGCTAAATCTGTCACTAGTCAAAGCACCCGTGTCCAGACCCAAAGGTTGCTGTAAAGTCTGTGGTTGCTGTTGAAAGCGACAGATTTGGTTCAGGTGGCCGCTCCCGGGCGTGCTGTGTGGGAGTGCTGCAAGGCAAAGCTCATTTTGGTTTGGGTTTTCTTCCAGAAATGTCGCAGGCCAGTGGAATCAGGTTTTTGTGCAGCCCCTGCCCGAAGAGGAAGTGACAGTTCGACACGATCAGGACCCCAGGGTGAGTGACTATAAAATAGCAATGAGAAGTAATGAAGCTTCTCTGCCCAGGAGAACATTATGACAGTTCAAGTGTACAAATTGTATCGATACAATCTCAAAATTACTCTAAATTAAAGGGGGCAATCCATAGCCTCTATTATAGGGGACAAGCCTTAGCCTCTATTACCACAACATTAAAGTACTAAGCATGGTTATGAAACCAGAAGTTGAGGGCTGAGGAGAATTTCAGGTCAGTCAAGAGAGATCCTTGAGACAAGACATTGTGAGTAAACAAGGTCTGGAGTGTGCGGGGAAACAGTGTTTGACTGGGACTGCTGAGGGCTTGGCAGAGGTTGGAGCAGGGTGTGGGTGTGAACTGCAGTAGGAAAGAAATACAGATCCAGGGGATGAGTTTGGGAATGGGAGGGAAGGCCAGAAACAGTATCTTAAATGCTGTCTTCCTGACATGTGTTTTCCTTAAAATGTGATCTTTTTCTCCTTGCAGGAAACCTACCTAGAGTATCTCTTCACGCCTGGCCGGTTCACAAATGCAGCTATCCAGAAAGCTTTACAGGTTAGTAGAGGGCCTTCGGTGTACTCCCTGTTCAGCTTCTTCCTGGCCATCTCAGTGTGAGGCAAGAGAATTCCTTGGAGCTCTTGGCAGGCATCAGTATGCATTTGACAGTTTGTAGACCTGTCAGTAGTCACTGAAGCAAGTTAGCTGCTGTTGTGCCATGCTTCAGCTGGTGTGTACTGACGGCGGGAGGCAGAACACAGTTTCCAGATTATTTTTTTTTTTCCCCCTTAGATAGCACAGCAGGTCGCTGAGCTTGCTTTTCATTGCCTGCTGCTTTAGCCAGGTGAACGGAGATTCGGCCTGCTGAAGTGCTGTTTCTCAGAATATATCTGTTCAGTTCTGGCTCCTCCAGGACTGTTAAGGACAGAGCAAGGCAACAACACATGGTGCCTTTTCAGGAAAAATGGAAGAGCCAAACTTCTGCTACAGTGACCGTTTTGATTCTTTGTGCTGTGACCTTGCAGAGGTCTGTAACAAGGTACAAAAGAGAGCCGCTGCAAAAGTATGCAGCACGTCTCTCCTCACACCCCAGTGTGCTGCTGGCCAGGAGGCTTCCTCCATTCCACAGGAAGAGGGAAGCTGGCTGTATGTCTGTGGAGCCCACATTTAGCAGCCAGCCACATTTTTTGATACTTTTGTCCCGCAAAGCACTGGATGGTGCTGTCATAGTTGCTTCACGTCGCTCGGCGCTGCTTGAACCTCAAGGAGACAATGCTCTTCCTTAAAAGTAAAAATTTGCTCTGCTGCTTTTCAGATCTTTTCTCAAGGAACTGAAACACACATGGATCTGACGTGGGATGAGTTAAAAAAAGAGGTTACCTTAGCTGTGGAAAACGAGGTGAGATTATTTTTTTTTTTCTCCTCCCTGTTTTGTTCTTAAATTCGCTGTATGCACTGTGGTGGTTCAGTGAAATTAAGTGAGATACAGAGTGACCCCAGGCCTTGTTTTGTCCTTTGTCTCTCTGAAGGTGTTCTGTGACTTTTTAAAAAAGTACAGATCTTCATCTTTCTTGCCTGGCTTTTCCATTCCCTTTTCTTTTTTGGAGTCCTTTCTTCTTTCTTGCTGTTCTGCTGTCTGCTCCCTGGGTGTGCTTTGTCGGGCACACATTGCGTGCTGCCCGTTCTCAGGTAGGGAGCTGTTGCCCATGATTTTGGACACCCAAAGATAATCAGCTTAGAGGGACCTATCTGAAAGATGAACTGGCACTGTCCTTTTTGGGTCTGAATTTTCCCCCGTTTTATGCTACTTCTCTGGATTTTACTCTTGACATGCCTGATTCTCTAGGCCAGCAGTCCTTCCACCTCCAGCTCATCCTTGAGGCTGCTCAGACTGTTCCTGAAAAGTTACAAAAAAGGCTGTTTTGTATCCTCTACAGCAATCGTTGTGCATGATTTTTTTAAAGAGATCTGCAGTGCTGCCCTTTTTCTTGATAACAGCAGTGCTTTGTAATTTAAGGTTGTATAAAAATGGGGACTTTGTTCCCCTTGCTGTTAGCTTTGTGATTTGCTGCTGTAGGAAAAAAACTTATATTTTGACAGTAAGGTGGTGAGGAAGAGAACTGTAACTGATGTTTGTAAACCTGAACCATGTAAAGGTGTGACTCTGGTTATGAGAGACAAGCCAGCAGTCTGAATGCTACAATTTTTCTCACTGGTTCACCACCTATGTTTATCTGAAGTCTTGTTTTGGTGCCACTAGTTCCAGGGCAGTGTGACAGAATATGAGTGCTCATTGGAGGAGTTTTGGCAGCTGCAGGTGGAATTCTGGTCCAAGCTCTACGCCTGCTGCCTTCAGTACCAAGAAGCACTCTCACGGCCCCTGGCCCTCCACTTGAACCCCTACACCAACATGGTGTGCCTGCTGAAGAAGGTGAGGCTGAGCAGCGCGGGCTCTTTGGCTGCTGGTGATCTCCAGGGAGGAGTTCTTCTGAGTGAGGTGTGGATTTGGGGAGCTCAGAAAAGGGTTTTTTCCTCACCTTTCTAGGGCTCCCTGTCTTTCCTTGTGCCCTGCTCCTTGGTGGACCATCTCTATCTCCTCTCTAATGAGCACCTCCTGACTGAGGACGATGCTGCCATCTTTGATGGTAAGTGAGGAGACACAGAGCTTTTTCATTGTTTGAGGTTGAAACGCTGCATGTCAGGGAAGCCCTAGGGAGGGATGTGGAAGTTTCCATAGAAGTGCTCCTGACTTCATAATTATCTACACAGAGATAGTTTTCTTATCTTGGCATTTGGAGGGAGTTTTATTTGGTGAAACTTGCCATTGTGCTCAGGCCAGGAATTAGACAATGGTGTCAAGGCTGTGAATTTGCTGTGCCTCATTTCAGATAACTTAGAAAGAATTTTAGATTTCCAGCTGCATGTTTCTTGGTGACAAGGACCTGCCTTGGTGGATTTTTTTGTCCCTGTGGCCTTACAAACTGACTGTGCAGGCTGAGGTTATCCAGTGCCCTCTTCTTGCCCACTCTGTGGGACAGATCTGCCCGGTTGGAGCTTGATAATGAGGTGGGGGGGGTGGAAGTGGGATGCAACAGCTTGTGTTTCTGATCATGTGGGTGATCATGAACCTCCTTAACTTTATCTCAGCTGGGGGCTCACTCAGCTTGGCCACCCCCCTCCGAGAGCCACAAGACCTACTCTGACTTGGTGCAAGTGGTTTTGTTTTGTAAAATTCCCCAATCTCTGTGTCTTGCTGATGGAGTAAACTCCTTTCAAAGACTGCTGACAAGAAAGAAATTTGTGAGTCTCTAAGCACCCTGGCATGCTGGGCTCAACTGCCCGTTTCTGCAAACTTAGTTTCTAGCTTAATTTTTTTAATAAATGTTTTTATGTAAGCTGTGGAGAGGGACTGTGCTGTCTCTTGTCTCCAGGAAGTAAATGCCAGTGTGTGGAAAAGTTGTCATTAATATTGTCGCCACAGTGCCCTCTATGCTTTGCTAGCCATGGAATGACGTTTCACAAGGAAAAAAGCAATGGAAAATGTTACCTAAGTTCCACTTTCATGCTCGAGTGATTTTTATATTTTTGTAAAGAAGAATCATCATCCATTTGGTTGAGCTATTTCTGGCGCTGAGGGAAGGAAAGCTGGAGGCCTAGGCTGGGTTTGGGAGGCTAGCAGTTCCTGCCCTGTCTGTTATAAACTTCTGCAAAAAAAAGGCGACTTAATTCTAAAAACGCATACATAAAAGATTATATTGTGAAGCAGTGATTTAAACCCTCAGTCCTGAATTTTCAGATCACTTCTAAGAATGTGAAAATCCTCTGTCAGCTGTGAGAGGTGGTGCTGCACATGAATAGCAGCTGTAATGAGTGTGTTCTGCTTGGCAGAGCTAAGCTATCCGAGCCACTTGCTCTGGGTTGTTGTTTTTTTTTCCTCTTACACTGCACTAATTACTTCCTTTCAACCTGTGGCTGGAGAAAATCCCCTGGAGGGAATTTTGTCATTTTATTTACATCAGTACTTTTTACTTTCCAAATAATAAAGCCCAAATCTTTCCCTTGTTAGCTCCTAAGGTTTAATTCGGCTTCGCAGTCAGCTGGGAAGGGTCAGTTTGGCACACAGGCCTGAGACCAATCTGCTGATAGTAGTTTGCTGATAGGAGCTGAACTAACTGGTTTTTGAATGGTCCTCCCACCTTTGCTTTGAAATCTCTTGTAAATATACAGTTAGATTCTTTCATTACAGATTTGGAGATGTCTCGTGATGTTGTCTGTCTTGTCCAGTGCCTTCGACTGATCGGAGAATCAATTTCCATGGAAATGGCATTCATAATGGAAATGGCTTGCTCCCGCCTCCAGCCTCCAGAAAAGGCTGCAGAGCAGATCCTGGAGGACTTGATAGCTAATGACACGTAAGGAGATGTTCTTGCAGAAGCTTCCTGGCAGCGAGGCAGGGATGGCTGAGCAGGGATTGCCTGGAGCTGGCCTTGACTGGCATCAAAGCACACGTGGGATGTGCAGGCTCTCCCTGTGCTGTGGGAGACTTTTCCAGGTCCCCTGAGAGATGGTTATCAGTGACATTAGTGGGTTCTTCCACCCAGAACCCCCTTGCTGTTGCTTGGGGCCCTCCTCAAAAGGCATTTTGGAGTTCTCAAAGGTAGAGAGCAGAAGAGGAGCGAGTTCGTTTTAGGTGAGCATTGCAGTGTGGAAAGCAAGTGCCTGCAGACATTAGGCAGAAGGTCAGAACCTTGGTCAAACCATGTGGTTACTGTGCTCACCTACTGAAATCATTCCTCATGGAATGCCAGCCATCTGACTTGTTATTTCCTGGTAGCCTGGGGGAGTGGAATAAATAGACTGCTCCCTGCAGGCGCTGTAATAAAACTCCAAACCAGAAGAGGATTCCCATCAAGAATGTCCAGGCTGATCCTTCCAGGGAGGATCAGTAAGGGAGGAAAGAGAGCCCTCTTCAGTTTTAAATCTCATGTTGCTGCTGCTGATGATGATCTTTTTCACTTTGTAGGGAAAATGTGATGGAGGACATACACAGCAAACTGCAGGAGATCAGAAACCCCATCCACGCCATCGGAGTGCTCATCCGAGAAATGGACTACGAGACCGATGCTGACATGGAAAGAGGTGAAAGCTCGACAGCGGGGCATTTGGGCTGGGAAAGCAGCGGCTAGGCAAGTGTTCTTGTCAGTCTAGTTCCTCCCCTTATCTTGGTGATTTTATCTTTTAGCTCATCATCTAAATATGCGCATGAACCTCTCCCAGCTGTATGGTAGTGGTACCGCTGTCAACGTGGTTTGCTGGGGGGTATGTAAGATTGCCACGATCCGTTTTCTGATCTGTCGGGACCTGTTGATCCTCCAACAGCTGTTGCTGCGGCTTGAAGATCCCGTGAGTACAGCCCTTGAAGCTACTGCTACGCTCTTTGAACTTTCAGATCTGGGGTTCTGCTGGTGCCAGACTAAGCTCTGTCTCTTCCCACAAAACACTGGAGGCTGTTTGAACTAGCCCCAGGCTTGGGCAAGCCCTGTTCTCTCCTCCAGTCATTTTTTGTCATCCTAAGCAAAGCAGCAGTGCGCTGCGCTCACACCCTAACTCTTTCCACGCTGAGAATCCAGGAAGCAAAACTTTTGTTTCCAGCCTGCCATCTGAAACGGTGCTGCCTGAGCACATACAGTTCCCCCATCTATTCCCCAACCCTCCCACGCTGCCGCACACACGATCGCAGCCTTGTTCTCTGGCAACGCAGCACCTTTTGTGTCACGACAGCAGTGTTTACCCAGAGGTTTCAGCCTTCCTGAGGCTGCTCCAGCCAGTGCCAACAGCCGCCGTGATGGCAGCTGTGTTTGTTGTCTTGGGCTGGGTCTTTCCCATTGGCCCTGTGACCGCACGAGGGATGGTGCTGATGGTTTGGGTGGATGCAGGGGTGCGGAACAAGTCCCCAACCAAGTGGAGTGTTGTTTAAACCAATATTATTTACTCAGAAACATTACTGCAATAGTTTCTTGGTGGAAAAGAGATCCCCTTCTTTCCTGGATAAGGTTGCCTTGGTAAAGCATGTTACAAGGTGCCCTTCTGGAGCCAGGCTCTCTCAGGGCACATGACCTGCTGCCTGCTTGACAAGGAACTGCTGCTTTGCCACTTGGACGCACTTGTGTCCTTCACAAGCGTGGATTGTTTTTCCTCCCATGTCACCTGGCCATGCTGCTTTTGGCTGGAGCACACCAGATTGTAATGCCTGGGCAGCAGGGCTGGGCCCCGAGATGGCCTCTGCCTCAAAGCTGTGATTTCACTCTCTACCATGTTGTTGCAGCAGCACAAAGCACCTTTTTTTCTGGTGGCCCTGGCGTCAGCAGATGTTTGCAGGCTGGAGAAGCACTCGGTGTGCGCGTCACTGCTTGTTAAAACTTTCCCCGGCAGGGGGCTGAGCCACCAGAATAGTTAACTCACCTCTTGGTGTGAGGTGATGCTGTCATTTGTGACTGGGTTATTCTGGTGCATGCAAGAGTCCTGCTGGTCTGTCTCGTGGGTACGTTGAATTAACTGCTGGGCTATCAGCTGCCTTGGCCTTGGCCGGAGGGATGACCTGGGCCCGCTACAAACCTCACCGATTGCCCTTGTCCTGCTGTTGCTCTGAGCTCGGCTTCTCAGTCTTCCAACCTCTTTGGTTTGCTTGCAGATGGTTTTGGGAGGGGGACAACTGTTCCAGTCTCAGCAGGACCTGCTGCACCGCACCTCACCCCTGCTGCTCTCCTACTACCTGATCAGGTGGGCGAGCCAGTGCCTGGCGTCCGACGTCCCCATTGACACGCTGTAAGTCTCTGCCGTGCCTGTTCTATCTTTGATTGTTGGTTCCTGCTGAATCCACCTGAAATGCCCTTCCTGGCATGAAAAGCTGGTGGTTGCTGTGGGAGTATCACTCTAGGATTCAGGTTGTGCTGGGGAGGTTGGTTGGGGTTTTTTTTTCCGTGTTTTCAGCTGACTCTTTGCCTTGTGCTAATTCTGCTGTGTGAGGTCTCGCTGTTGCCTTTTTCAGCAGTAGGAGTCATTTGAGTTGAACAATGAGTGCAATTAAAGCAGGAGGTGTTTTGTTGTCCCTTCACTGATGGCTTTTTTTTCTCTAGGGAATCTAATCTGCAGCATCTATCTGTGTTGGAGTTAGCAGACACCACTGCTCTAACACCCCATAAACTAGGTAAGATGTCCACAGCCTGTCACCTCTTGGGTTGTTATTTATACCTCTTGAGCCGTGTCTCTGCCACCCCAGGGAAATGCTTTATGCAGTCAGCTAATGGAGCATGGGATTGACTGACCCCACTTTCTGTGATGTTTGTCGTGCTGCCCACCAAAAAACAGCACCAGCAGAGTATCTTGTAACATTGGACTCAGACCAGAGACATGGATCTTATTCTCAGCCTGAGGAGGATGGAAAGGCCTCGCTCAGTTAAACTTTATGAATTCTGGCTCTGGCAGTATCAGCCAAGCTCAGCTCTTGCTCCTGTACGTTACAGTGGCTGTAGTGGGTCAGGCCACATCTGTCCTGCTCACTAACCTTTATCCCACAGCAACCAGGAGCAGCAGCTCAGGTGAACGAGAGAATGCTAGAAATACTTCCCAAAACATGCTTGTGCTTCCATCACTTTGCAGTTCAGTTTTTGCCAGTACCTCAAGGGGGAAATTGCAGCTGATAATTCATTCATATTTTAAAAGTCTTGCTGCAAAGACACATGCTTTGAATTACTGTCTTGGAGGAGAAATCCTAACAGGGGAGAATATAAGGCAACTTAATTAGGAGGATGTGTACCTTGAAGTGGTTCCAGAGGGAGGTGGTGAGCAGGGTAGGGGAGAAAATGCACAGGTAGGGGCCTACTGTAACTAGTCTCAGCCTTTAAGTACAGACACTTCAGAGGGAGCTGAGAAAATCGGGGACAAACAGGCAGCAGTGCCACATGCGAAGGGCTGTGAGCTGGGGAAGAAATTCCTCTGCTTGCTGACAGGCCTGGGGCATCTGTGCTCTTTGTGAGCAGGCTGCGATCTTCAGAGTCCGAACGCTCCCTGAATGAGAGTCTGGGTTCAGGGGGCAGTTGCCTTGAAGTAAATGTCAGGACATAAAAGCAAAATTGAAAACATCCTTTGTGTGTGCCAGTGTCGTGGGTTATTTCTTGGCCCGCTCATGAGGAAAGTCCTGTTTGGCCGCTGTGCTTCGGGAAAGATATGTGAAACGTGGGGAAGCTGGAAAGGAGGTGGTAGCTTGGGGAGAGGCGTTGAGAACAGTTAACTACTGGGAGATTGGACTGCTTAGGGTGCTGGAATGAGGAGGGAGGCATTTGAACAGGGTCAGATAGCCAAATCAGCACTCCCTCAGCCCTGCCCTGCAGCACACTCGGTCGTGCTGGAAAGCTGCAGATGGGTCGTGTCATGAATAGCGCAACTAGAGAGCAAGCAGAGCCCTTTTTTTTTTTCATGTTATAATTGAGTTGCAGTTAATAAACATTGCAGTATGTGGCTCTTTGATCTCCTGCTACTCCCTCTGACTTAACCAGACGGCAAGAGAAATCCAAAACCAACAAGTTCGAGTGCTGAACGTGCTTATTATTTTGCTCCGGCTTAATCTGTGATGCTTGAGCTGATGAGCACAGCACAGTGTAGAAAACCTGGGATGTCTGCTGCAGGCCCTCTTCTCAGTGTTTCTTTAACTTGTATTTTTTAGTATCCAGCCCTCAAACAATTGTGGAGCTGTTCTTTCAGGAAGTGGCCAGAAAGCACATCATAGCTCGACTCTTCTTGCAACCAAACACCTCTTTGGCTGAAACAAGTTTGAACTGGCCCCATCTCATTACTGCGATAGTGGCTGACTTTCTGCCACTCCTGTATCCTTGGCTGTAAACCCCCTCTCTGCGAGGTGCTGGCTCTTGCCAGGCTGTAACCAGGGGGAGTTTCTGTATGGTGCAGCAGTGCCGGAGCTGTTGTGCATGGAGGCTGCGTGTTGAGGCCCGATCCTAAGACTGGGAGCATTGGTGGGCCTGTGAGAGGAGGGTTGGGGCTAGCAGAGGGGTTTAGGTGGTGGGCTGCGGGGTGCTTGCGAACTGTAAGTTGGCCATCTCTGCAACCAAACCCCATGCAGTTCCAAAACCAGTGTTTTCCACATCCAAATTTCAAAGATAAATTGGCTGAACAAGTGACTGTTGTTAGCAAGATTTGTGGGTATTTTAAGATTTCTCAGAATCCATCCTGTTTAGGTGCACAGTAAAGAGTTTGAGTTTTTGACTTTAAGCCCCTGAGCTCTAGCGACTTGACTTGGTGAGGGGCGATGCTGGGACATTTGGAAAGGTAACAAGATTTGGGCAGTTGTGGGTTAGATGTACTAATGGTTTTGTTCTAATATGGATAGATCTCATTACAGAATAAGGACTTTATAAAGAGCAGCTTAATCTTCTCTCCTTTACCCCCCTCCAAACTGAGTGAGAGAGGCATGCCGACTTTTCAACTAGTTCTCCGAGCTCTCCGGGTAGGATTGTTCCTTAACCTCTGCTCAGATGGCCCAGCAATCCCAGTTTCCTCTTCCCTGAGTGCCTGATGGGGAGCTGCCAGTACACCCAGCTGCAGGTGAGTGCTCCGCTCCAGCTCCCTCAGAGGAGCTGACAGGGGAAGAGCAGGTGTGAGTGCAACAGTCTCTTTCCACATGTGGGTTTTTTGCAGTGGCAGGTCTGTGCTTCGGCCAATGCAGAGGTGTAACGTGGCCTGAGCTCCATGCGCAGCCGCCTTACCTCTGCTTAGAAAAAGTTCCCCAAAACCAGCATCTTTCCAGTTGCTGGAGGTTGTTCTGCTTCCCCCTAGTCGCTGCTCTCTGAGCTCTGATGTGAGATAATCTTCCCGAGTGCTCTGCTTCTGTATCTCCCTTTTGGAGATGATGGGCTGGAAGTTCATCCCGCAGATAAAATTGTACTGCAAGGAGCAATTCTTTTGGAGATTTGTTAGAAATCTCTCTTGTAACTATCGCAGTGTCAGTGCTGTGAACAAACTGTAAGGTAGCAAATATCTTCCATCTTCCTCGTGCGTCTGTCTTGTTTCCTGTAGTGTCCACCTCTAACAGAAGGGGTTTTTGCTAAATACCTCATCCCTGGAAAATGCCACAGAGACTTTGCTGGGAAATTATTTAAGATGGTCGTCTTACACATTTCCTCTTTAATCTGTTTTCAAGAAAATCTAGGCATAAGTGCTTTGGGTTATTATATACCTTTTTCGTGGAGGAATTCGGTCTCCCAGGGCTTGTCTGTCAGTGTGGTACTGCATGCAAGAAACATCTTTGCGGAGCTTGTTTAAATATCACAGCCAGCCCATAATCCAGTCGCTCATTAGCTGCTGATGTGCCCACAGCCTTTCCTGCACTACCGCTGCAAACAAGACTGCCCGCAGGACTGGGGGTTCCAACAGTAGAAGTAATTTCAAGAAGGCTCATCTATTTCTTAAACGTCCTTACTAGTAAAAACCGGTGTAAGAAACATCCGACATCTTGGCAGCAGGGCGAGTGAACTACTTTTTTACTTTCTGGTGTCTCCCTGGACTGCTGTATTTCAGACCGCTTTTTCTCCACCATCCCTTCCCATGCTTTTCAAGGGCTGGTGCTTGTAGCTGCTTGTGCTCCAGTTCAGAGCTGCACGGTTTCTTGTCTGCAGCGCCATGTGACACATTTCATTCCCCAACTGATGGCAGTCCTTGAGGCACGCAGGGCTAGGCAAGCTGTTGTTAATGAGATGTTTTTTTCTGTGCTTAGCAGAACCTTTTATTCTCAGAGTCCCTTACACCTGGGGCTGAATTGCTTTCTTTTGTGTTCGTCTTGCTGCCAAGAATGTCAAATCTACAGAGCTTTTGAGCCAGGAAATGCCAGGACACTTTGAGCAGCATCATTCTACCTCCTGGCATATGTTCGCTCTTGTGGCACAAGCACGCTTTGAATTTCCTTGCATTGCTTTCGCCTCACTTGTGTCCTGCCTCGAGGAGATACAAGCAACTTTTATCTCTGCAGGAGCAGGCTCTTCTTCCTCCTCCCTGCTACCTTCTGTCACACTTACTGATCCCAGTCGGTCACGTAAACTTGGATTAACTGTTTTGACCTCAGGGAGCTAACACCAGATTTTCTGTGAGTGTGAGCTTGGTGACCCAAATAGGGGTGGAGATACAGGAAGCACCCTGCGAGTAACCAGTGCACAGAGAAGGTCTAGTGACTGGCCTGGGCCAGGGCCAGACCTCTCCTCGTTGCTTATTCTGTATGACAAGCTGTTGAGCAAGCCGTTGGGTGGGATTTATCTGTTTTAGCTGGCTAATCTGAGCAGTGAATCCAGGCTCAGAAGATGCGTTGCCACATGGCTTTTAGTGGACCTGTGGCTGGGGTAGGTGAGACATATGTGCTGGTGGTTTACACACGTGTGAAGATGCAGGTTGGCTGGTGAAACCTAGGCTTTACTGTTGGGTCTTGGCTTCTCCTCCTCCTTTCCTGCTGAGTCCCGGAGCCCTGCTGGTGGGACATCTCTGCTTCTCCAAGTGTGAAGAGCAAATGCTACTCTCCCAGGCATGAGGGATGCCAGCTTTTGAGTTTTCATCGTGCTTCCTAGCTGCTCTTGGATAGGTGGTGACACTTTGCAGCCCTTATATCATCCTGACAGAGCAGGCACAGGGCCAGACTGAGTTGTATCACCCTGTCCTTTTGGCCAGCGTCTGTATTGTGGCTTTATTTATGGTGTGTCCTTAGTGTCGTCAGTGTTCCACCCTATGCCTGTCAGTTTGTTGCTGTAATCCGTGGTCTTCTTTGGTGGCTCTCCCCTCCTGCCCAGATACTGCTCTTCTAACACCTGCTTTGCCTGTTCTCCCACTGCCTTCACACATGTGTGCTGCTGGTCCTGCTCCATGCACGCCAGGGTAACATTTCCTTTGCAGTTCCCTGGAGCGGATTTGCAGTGGTTGTAGAACACATTGTGTTTGATTTGTGGGGATGTTGGGTGCTGTTTCTGAGGCACAGGAGCTGTTCAGAGCACCTTGTTTGTTGGCAGCACATGGGGGATGTCTCCCCATCTGCACACTGAAGGGACTTTGGGGCTGCAGAAACCAGTCCTGACCGAGTAAATTGGCACCAAGTCATTCCACACAGGCACTACTTAGGGAAAGAGAATCCCTGCTTGGTCCCCAGCTTTTCAGGGAGTGATTTGAGACTCAGAAAACACACTGAGCGGGATCTGTGTGAGCACGGCAGTTAAAGGGGCCACCAAAATAGTGCTTTAGTGTTAGAGACCTAACCCTTCTTCTGGTAGTGGGTGCCTGCAGGTCACGAGCGAGTGCTGAATCGAAACTCCCATTCCTCCTCTCCTGTAGGAATACATTCGCCTGCTGCAGCCGTGGTGCCACGTGAACATGGGCTCCTGCTGCTTCATGATGGGCCGCTGCTACCTCGTCATGGGCGAGGGGCACAAGGTAAGGCCCCAGCTTCCTGGCGCTGCCCCTCTCTGGGGTCTGGGACATTTTTCCCTGGGAGGGCAGAGGTGCACAGGTAGGACCAGCCTTGTTTATGCTGTGCAAGTCAAGAAATGTCCATCTCGTGGAGAAAAGTTCCTGTTAGCTTGGGGCCAGCGGGTCTCATACAGTGGAGCTGGAACAGGCAGCACTGTCTTCTCAGTACGGTCAGTCCCCCAAGGGGCACACGCAAGCTGCTTTTTTGGTCTGCTTCTAGGCTTTGGATTGTTTCTGCCAAGCTGCATCTGAGGTGGGAAGAGAAGAGTTCTTGGACAGGCTGATCCAGCCTGAAGAGGGTGAGATAGTCTCCACTCCACGCCTGCAGTACTACAACAAGGTACGGCTGAGCTGGCCCAGCGGGCACCATCCTGACCAAGTAAATTGGCACCAAGTCAATCCATGCAGGCACTACTGAGAGAGAGAGAGAGAGAATTCCTGCTTGGAAAGAGAATTCCTGCTTAGTCCCTAGCTTTTGAGGGAGTGACTTGAGACAGAAAACATACTTTTTTGTGAGGTAAAGCCTCAGTGTAGTCTGTTTACTTTCTTTGTGAGGCTGACAATGGGGTGACTGCGGTGTGAAAGCTCGGTACTTTCCATCCATTATTTCCTAGTAGCAGAGGACTTTGTTATCCAGCAGAAAAAGGGAGAGATCCAGCTGCTGGAGGCAGAAGCCAGACATGTTCAGGCTAGATGTAAGATGCTGCTTAAGGGGCAGGTTATTAAGCTTTGAGGCAAATTGAAATGAATGTCTTTAAATTGAGATAGCATCTTTCTTCTTGCATAATGCCATCGTTCAGACAGGCTGAAAGCTTGGACCTAGGCTTGCTCTAAGGGATTCCCTGATTTTAAAATCCAGCAAACACAAGGATTGTCTGGTGCCCTTGGAGAGGGGGCTCTCTGATACAGCTGCTTGTGTGCTTGGGGAGCAAGCACCCCTCTCTATCAGGGGTTCACTGTAAATGTCAATGCTAAAATGTTTTGGAAAACTCACATGTGCAGAGATGAATCCTCCAGAAAAGCTATAGCCTGGGTCTGTTGCACTGGGATTTGGTTCAGACCTTTGCAGCTCACAAAAATATGGTTTTTTTTTCCAGTCTAATCACTTAGAAACATAGGCAAAAATCTTTGGGCTGCCCTTATGGTTAACAGGGGCAGGAATAGCTCTTTGAAAAAAAACAGAGGAGAAAAAAAAACCCCACCCTCGCCATCCCAACCCATGCTTTGGTACTGCTGCAGCCAGTGTTTGACTGTCATCTTCTCCAGGTGCTGCGCTTGTTGGACATGGTGGGGTTACCAGAGCTGGTCATCCAGCTGGCTGCCCTGGCTGTCATGGAGTCGGCAGATGACTGGAGAAGCCAGGTACAGGTCACTTCTTTGGCATCATGATGTTTCTTCAAGGAGCTTACACGGGAATTTTTTTTTAGTTGTGTAACTCGAAACATGCTGCTTTGTGCTCTTTGGTGTTTTCAGGCTACATTGAGGACTTGCATCTTCAAACATCACTTGGATTTAGGACACAACAGTGAAGCATATGTAGCCTTAACGCAAAACCCAGATCCAAGCAGGTAGGTGATAGTTTTATGCCTTTAAGTTCACTTGTCTCAGAGGTCCATGTACCAGTTTTTCCATCAGACCGGAAGGGTAGAACAGCTTTAGGGTAGGACTTGGCCACTGTGTTAAGCAGTTCTGGTTCAACTTGTGTAAAGGTGTGTTTAAAAAGACAAAATTCACTTTTGTAAGGACAGTTAGGATCAGCACAATCTCACAAACTGGTGGGGAGGGGAAATAAAAGCTGATTCAGGGAAGAGCCAAAAGAATGGCTAAAGAATCACGTGTAGCTTTGTTGAAAAGCTTTAGAAGTCCAGTTGATTTAATTCAATAAAGAAAAGACTTGGAGTTGAGTTTTCAGCTTGAAATACCATCTGGGAAGTGAACTGGGTAGAGGAAGCTTCACCCTAGCAGAGGAGGATGTGACAAGCAGGAATGGCTGGAATAGATGATCAGAGGAGAAGCAGGAATGTGTTTTCATTGTGCCTGAAGAAAGTCTTGCCAAATAGAGCTGAGGGAGGGAGCCCGCCCTCTTGCGAGACCTTTGCAGAGGATCTCTGCTGTCCAGGATCTCTATTTGCAGCACAGAAGTCTGGAGGGACTTCTTGGTTCTAAGCCAGGGGGAAAAAAAAAAAAAACAAAAAAACACAAACCCTCCGGAGCTGGTAACAAAGAGACACGCTGGTGGCTGAATTCCTCCATCCTGGTGATGGGTTCGTGCGTCTCTCCGCAGGCAGCTGGACTGTCTGCGCCAGCTAGTGGTTGTTCTCTGCGAGCGCTCCCAGCTCCAGGACCTGGTGGAATTCCCCTACGTCAACCTCCATAACGAGGTAATCGGCCTGTGCTGAGGAGAAAGGGGGCCACGATGGCTCTCTTCAAAATGATTTTTCCACCTATTTGAGCCTTTCTGTGCTGCAGGTCGTGGGGATCATTGAATCTCATGCTCGAGCAGTGGATCTGATGACCCACAATTACTACGAGCTGCTGTACGCCTTCCACATCTACCGCCACAACTACCGCAAGGGTAAGTCATGTTCTAACAACCCACCTGCCTGGGGACACCGCTTCCCCTGCCCCTGCAGGGTGGCCTGTCCTGGGTCTTGCCTGATGTTATTCCCCTTCCCAGCTGGCACAGTGATGTTTGAATACGGCATGCGCCTGGGCAGGGAGGTGCGGACGCTCCGAGGGCTCCAGAAACAGGGAAACTGTTTTCTTGCTGCTATTAACTGCTTACGGTTGATCCGCCCAGAGTACGCCTGGATAGTGCAGCCAGCTTCTGGAGCTGTGGTAGGAAACGCTGAGCTTTCTGTGAAGCCTCTGTCCTGAGCTGTTGACTGTGGGGACACTTACTGTACATTAGGGAATGAGCTTCTATCTTTCTGATGAACAGAGGTGCTGGCCGCCTTAATCTGCTGCTCTCATCTCCTTGGCCAGCCCGCTCAGTGCTGTCTTGTCCTGCTCAACAGAGATCAATCTTACCTATCACCCTTGTGTTGTTGCCCCTTTTTGGAGCAGGGTGGGAGCAGAACAATCTTTGGGAGTGGGCTGGTGTGTTTATGTGGGAATATATCATCTCTTGTTGAAGACAGCACGTTTTTGGGGGGAGTCAGTGGCTGAAATACCAGTAAAAAGAGAATTACTGGAACATGGCTCGTGTTTCTAATCCCTTTGCGGGAAGTGTTGACTGTAGCCTGATCAGCCAATGCTGTGCCATGTTTCTGATAGCCAGAGATAAATGTAACCTGAACTGCCAAGTGGCTGTTTGGCTTTTCTGATTCAAATCAAGGCTCGAAACAGAGAACGGGTTCTGGGATTGTATTGTATTGAGGTAATCTGTCCTTTAGAAACCAGGTGGGCCTAAACCCTCTTTCTGCTCTTTCCTGCAAGTACGAACGCCCTGGAGCATCCCCAAAGAGAAGCCACGATGGGGAGTGCACGGCTGTTCCAGGTAAGTGCCCAGTCCTGGTGCTTCCTCCAGCTCTTGTCAGAGCAGCCTCTCCTCTGGCCTCAGCACTTTGCTGTTCCCCTGTGAGCGAGCAGATGGCTCAGGGCAGCTCTCGCCACTCTCAGATCAATGATTTGGGGGATTGTAACCTATTTAACTCTCCCAGCGTTAGTGTCTTCCAGTTGCCGTATGCTGCTGTGTAACTGCCATTCCCCAGGGAGCTTCTGTGCACGCTGCTCTGCCATTTGATGTCTTGTCAGCACTTTTGTTTTCAGTGGAAATAACTTGTAATTTAAAAAAGCCTTTGTGATGCAAATTTCTAGTTGTTCAAGACGTTTGTGCTCTTGGAGACCCTCCTGACGTAGTGAGTCTGCTGGGAAGGTCTAAGGTCTCCACTCAGCCTATGTCCACCAAAGCAGGGAATGTAGACTCATAATCCTCAGCATTATAGTAGAAAATTTTAAGGTCAGGTATTTTTAAAACAATTCTTTCTGAATGAGCTCTGTTGTAGCATATGCATGGCAGTCAGAGCAGCAGCTGTTACCAAACATTAAATTAACATCTCTCAGAGGAGGAATGGGAGGTTTACATCAAGATCAGCACAGTTCAAGGTAGTGAGGAAGGGACAGAAAAACCTGACCCCTTTTTTGGTGTTTTCTGGGGCATGACTCCTACTCGGATGGCAGAGGGCTGTTGACATCTTGCACAATGCTCGAGGAGCCCTTTTTAAAAGGCTGAGAGCCCTTCGTGTCCATCTGTTACAGCAACTCGCCAAATCGAGATCCTGGAGCTGGAGGATTTGGAGAAGGAGTGTGTGTTGGCTCGGATCCGGCTGACTCTGGTGCAGCACGACCTGTCGACAGCAGCTGTGGCAGGTAAGAGGGATGCGGCGCAACCTCCTCTCACTTCCCCTGAGGTTTTTGCTCCTTGCTTTCTGTTGTAACTTAGGTGAGGAAGCAGCAATTTTATTCTGACCCAGAGACAAATCCAGGAGCTGGCAGGGACCGTTCCGTTTGCCACTCCAGCATGAATCTTGCCACCAAGTTCAGCATCTTTGGAAAGGCAGCTCAGGAGAACACATTTTAAGTTTTCCACCATTTTTTGGCTTGGCCAAGTTTGCAGCGTGGGGCTGGGGTTGAGCTCATGAGTTGAGACCAAAAGGCATCTTTTTGTCTTGCTGAAAATTGCCTCCGGATGAAAAAAAATTAGAAAGCCCTAGGAAAAAAGAAAAACCACATTTGCTTAAATTATTATCCTGGATAATCCTGCTTCATGACATGCTGTTAGCTTATCAGTGTGGTTCCTCATTGGGGAGTGGAAAGATGTGATTCTCCCACCCTATGAGTGTGTTCTGCCACTCTCTGATACAGGTTATGCAACATGTGTGCAGTTTTCCTCTTGAAGTGTTGGGAGATGACAACTTCCCAGTAAGGGATTGCAGGAAAAGGCTGGAACAGCTGCTTTGAGGGCAAACTTGGAGACAACAGGGAACTGAGTGTCACAGTTTCATCTCGCCTCCTGCCGCTGCCCCTCCTGCCTGTTCTGGCAGAGCTGAACTGATGCATTGTTTGCTCAGATACAGGCCTGCTGTGCCAGTGACAAGGCTGTCCCCCCTCTCAGCTCACCTAAACAGTGGCAGTGTTGAACTGTGGGCCACACATTGCTGCTTGTGTCCCTCTCCAGCTGGTGCCTGGTCAGGGATGGCCCTGTGGGTCACTGATGCTTTGTGCAGTCCCTCCAGGGACAGCTCCTGGGCTCCTAAGATGCTCCCAAGGCCATGAAAGCCTTGAGTGTGTGATGAAAAGTACCGCTGCAGAGTTTTGCATTGGGCTGTTAGCACAGGGCTGCTGTATGTAACTCTGCCGCTGAACCACATGGAGTTAGGCCCCAGTTAAGCACTGGGGTGTGACTGGGGGAGGTGCTTACCTGGTCCTTCTTCCCTCCAGGCAACTCTACACCCGAGGAAACGGTTGCTCTCCTGGTCCGGGCTGGCCTCTTTGACACCGCCGTCACTCTGTGCCAAACATTCAAGCTGCCCTTGACACCTGTCTTTGAGGGACTCACTTTCAAGTACGTAGCAAGCTCCTCCTTGGCCTCGAGTGAGGTGGCTTGGAGCGACGTGGTGCTCAGTGGGGCACAGCTGGCAGCTCCCCAGTGTCCAAGCCATCCCCGTCCCAACCTGTCTGCTTGCTGTGGCTGCTGGCGCTGTGCGTGGCCTCAGCAGCTGCTGGCTCAGGGGTTTTGAGGTGGAACTTGCTCTTTGCACCTGGAAAGGAAAAATTCCAGAGAATTTTGGCAGTTGCAGGAGGTGCCATCATCTGGAGACTTTTCTGGTGAGCTGGCTCCTGGCACGCTCCTGCCAATGCTTACGGGAGATTTGTTGCTGCTGTTGAGCAGCTTTAAGAGCAGTTAGCAGAGCACTCGCTCTTCTGTCTGATCCCTGCACTAGCTGTTTTCTCTCATGCCTCACCTCCCACCCCAGGATTCCTCTTTTTTGCCTCTCAGCACTTCCCAAAGATGCACCGTGCCTGCAGAGCTGTCCAGGAGCTCTGCTGAAACCCATCCCTGTGCCTGGATGTGCTGAGGGCACCTTGTACCCAAGCTCAGGCCCTGAAACTTGATAACATCAGAGTCATTATTAGTTCCTCTCTGGCACTTAGAGAGCAACTTAGAAATTGCTCTAAGAGCTGCCTTTTCCTGCCAGGCCACCTAATCTATAGCTGTTCTTGGGAATAGTCCTGCAAGGGATGGCTTTGCTAGGCTCTGAAGGCGCCCACATTTGTGCTGCTCTGTCTTGCAGGTGCATCAAGCTGCAGCTGGGGGGGGAGGCAGCACAGGCAGAGGCCTGGGACTGGTTAGCAGCAAACCAGCTCTCCGCCCTGGTTACCACCAAGGAGTCCAGGTAGGTCTTTGCCTGGGCGGGAGGAAAGCAGAGCTGCTCATTGTGAGAGTGGATCATTTTGGGAGGGTAAAGCCTTGCAGGAATCCAGAGGGTTCTAGATTCATAAAAACCCCCTTAAAGCAGACCTGTGAGACTGGGACAGTGCTGTCACCGTGCTCGCCCTGCCCTATTGTACACAGCACACCCTGCTTTGCCGGGCATCAAGCACACATGTGGGACCCAAGGAGGTCTCCTGGAGCACACCATGGCCTCGCAGACGGTGGCAGGGGCTGCTGGCACAGGTTCCGAGGGGAAATATTGCTTTGCAGCGCCACAGACGAAGCGTGGAGGCTGCTGTCATCCTATTTGGAGCGTTACCCGTCCCAGAACAGCCTCTACCATCGATGCGTCATCAACAAGCTCTTGGCACACGGGATACCTCTGCCCAACTGGCTCATTAACAGCTACAAGGTGAGAAGAGGGAGAAGGTCGCTGCTCGGTACAAAAAAACAGCTGCTGGATCACCTTCGCTTCAACAGACACCTCCTCATTGCAAACTTCACCCCTGTTCCCAGCTCCAGGAATCCGTGCCAGATGCTTTGTGCCTGTGACCGAGGCTCTGCACAGTATCCTCTTAGCATCATGGCAGCTCCCAGGCATGTTCCCTCACTGATGTTTCCCTCTTTGATTGCAGAAGGTGGATGCTGCTGAGCTGCTGCGGCTTTATCTGAATTATGACCTGCTGGAGGAGGCTGTGGATTTGGTCCTGGAGTATGTAGATGCTGTGCTGGGCAAAGGGCACCGGTATTTTGGAATCGAGGTGAGCTCATCATCCACAGGAGATGTGCTGGACCCTTCCTTGCGGGGCAGATCCTGTTTGGGATTTGGATGAGGCTGCCCCTCGATGACTGGGTTCAGTTTTGGGCCCCTCACTCCAGAAAGGCCACTGAATGACTCGAGCGTGTCCAGAGAAGGGCAACGGAGCTGGTGCAGGGTCTGGAGCACAGGTCTGCTGGGGAGCGGCTGAGGGAACTGGGGGGGTTTAGTCTGGAGAAGAGGAGGCTGAGGGGAGACCTCATGGCCCTCTACAGCTCCCTGACAGGAGGGTGCAGAGAGGGGGGATGAGTCTCTTGAACCAAGGAACAAGCACCAGGACAAGAGGGAATGGCCTCAAGCTGCGCCAGAGCAGGGTCAGGCTGGCTCTGAGGAAGGATTTCTTTGCAGAAGGGGCTGTTGGGCATTGGAATGGGCTGCCCAGGGCAGGGGGGGAGTCCCCATCCCTGGAGGGGTTGAAGAGTCGGGTTGACCCAGCGCTGAGGGATCTGGTGGAGTTGGGAACGGTCAGGGTGAGGTTCATGGTTGGACTGGAGGAGCTTCAAGGTCTTTTCCAACCTGGATGATTCTGTGAGTCTGTGATATTGTGCCTGTGACTTTGTGATGGTGCTGCTGGGGGAAATGGGGATGGGTGATCACCCCCAAGAGGAGAGGGGACCCTCATAGTGGCACCAGAAGAACAAACAGGTGTCAGGACATGGTGCTTGAGAGCTCTGGCTGTGGGCCAGGAGCATGACACAACAGAAGGGTGCCTCTCCTTTCCAGTTCCCCCTGTCCGCCACGGCCCCCATGGTATGGCTGCCCTACACTGCCATCGACCAGCTGCTGCAGGCGCTGCGGGAGAGCACCACCAACCATTACAATGTCGTGGTAGGTTACACCTTCCCCGGGGAAATAACGGGGTGTGCTCACCAACCCCCCTGCCGAGGGCTAGAGTCAAACCCCAGGGGATTTCTGGGGAAGAAGGAAGGTGAGGAAGAGGGGGTGGGCTGACTCTTCCTCCGCTGGCTTTGCCCCTCGCCCAGCTCTACGAGAAGCTGCACGACAAGATGGAGGACTACCAGCAGAAGGTCAGCATGGCCACCTGCGATCACCTGTACCGCCGAAACTAGTGGCAGGCCCCACTGCCCATCTCTGTCCTTCGGCCCAGCACCTGCTCCAGGTGACATCCCTGGGGGCTGATGCTGTCCTACCCCAGTGCTGATTTTACTCGTTTTTTGTCTGTTTTTACATTGAGTCAACCATGGCATCCCACTGTCACTTCTTGGGGAGTGATGGGCGATTAGCAGAGCTTTGGGGTGCAGCCTGCGCCAGGGCAGCCCCCTCACTCTCACCCTGTACTGTATGCAGCAGATTTTGGTGTTTCTTTTATTTATTGTTGTGTTTTTGGATGAACTTTAATAAAATCAAACTGTTATTACAGGCTTTTGTTGGGATGGGTGATGTTCCCCTGGCACCCCGAGGAGGGGATTTTGGGGAGTTGAGAGGGTAAAGCAAGGAGGGGCTGTGGGACTCTGCTCCCTGGAGTTCTTTCTTCTGGGGTACTCTATATGGGCCGTGCTGTAGGGCAGGATGGAGCTATAGGCCCCAGGGACAGGACTGCGCTATGGCTGAGGGGCAGCACTGCTATAGGGCAGGAGGGAGCTATAAATCAGGGACAGGGACCTGTAGTGTGAGCAGGGGCTGCACCCCCTAGGAGCAGCTTTTGCTGTGGGATAGGATGGACCCTTGAAGGGCAGCAGCATTGGGCTGTGGGGTGGGCCGGGGCTCTAGGCTGCGGGAGCAGCCCTTAGGGTAGGATGGGGCGGCGGGTCAGGCCGGCTCTGTAGGCTCACGACAGGCGGCAGCTCTAAACCCGAGGGGCGGGGCGGCGCTGGGCATGGGCTG